CTTTTTCAGGTGATCTCCTTTTTGGCCCAGGGTTAGAGACGGTTTTAGACCACACGGCGGGCAGGAAGAAGTCCTTTCCCCTTAAGCGGAAAATGCAGGATCAAGGGGGAAGGAAGTTTCATCCCCCAAAGAGGTTACAGGTCCTTAGGCCAGAGATTCAGAAAAGGGCATGGGGGCAGAGAGGTAGGGGCAAAGGAGGAGCGTTTTTCCGTCGTCCTGAGCAGCTCCAAAAGCCGCGGTGACTCGATTCCCCCGGTGGGAGGAAGATTGGGGGTCTTCCTGCCACGTTGGGAAGCGGAGGTCTCCAGCCCCTTCGTACTGGACATCAGGAGAAGGGGTACCGCCTGGAGTTCTCAAAGCCACCGCCACAAAGGTTATTAGTAACAAGCCTGCCCAGATGTCCACAAAAGGCTTCGGCCTTACTAGCTTCTCTACGGGAGTTAGAGGAGCAAAAGGTAGTAGTGAGAGTCCCCAATGCAGAGATAGGGGAGGGTTTCTACTCACATGTGTTCATGGTCCAGAAACCTTCAGGGGCGTACAGGTTGATTCTAAATTTGAAACCCCTGAACGAGACTATCCTATACAAGAAGTTTCGGATAGACTCAATTTTTACAGTCAAAGCCCTGCTTCCAGGGGCTTTCTTAGCCTCAATTGATTTGAAAGATGCCTATCTGCACGTACCCATCACGGATACATTTCAGAAGTTTCTCAGACTTAGCAGTTCAGGGTCCAGGGAGGACGTGTCACCTGCAGTTTCGGGCCTTGCCCTTCGGGCTCTCCTCCTCTCCAAGGATCTTCACAAAGGTTATGTCCGAGGTGCTGGTTCCACTTTGGGTGAACGGAATTTCAGTGGTAGCCTACTTAGACGATCTTCTTTTATTCGCAAGCTCGGAGGAGCAGCTTGCGCGGGACATAGCAGTGGTGAGGAACCATTTGGAGAGTTTGGACTTGGCCAGGTTCAGCAGCCATCCCAGTCTTATTCCAGCCCAAAGAATGACTTATCTGGGCTATATACTGGACTCACCTGTCAAAAAAAACCTTTCTAACCCCCGAGAAGTTCACCAAGTTAGACTGGGGGATCAGGCGGCTACTGGAGAGCCAAGGAATATCGTTGAGGCGTGCTATGTCAGTTTTAGGGCTGTTAACCTTGTCCATACCGGCGGTACAGTGGGTGGGGCTGCATCTACGTCCCCTGCAGCTGTTCATTTTAAACGTTTGGGACCGGCAGCAGAGGTCGTTAGATTCCTGGGTGCAGATTCCCACCAAGGTAAAGAGATCCCTTTGGTGGTGGAGGAAGGCAACCAACGTAACTCCGGGGTTACTGTGGAATTTTCCGGTGGTCAGGGAAATCACGACAGATGCGAGCGCCCAGGGATGGGGAGCACACATGGAGGAATCCGTGGTAGAGGGCGCGTGGTCTCAAGAAGAGAGAGGAGAATCCTCAAACTGGAAGGAACTAAGGGTAGTTTGAAAGGCCCTTTGTTCCTTCCAGGGTTTGATTGGGGGCCATCATGTTCACGTCCTTTCGGACAATGCGACGGTGGTGGCCTATGTGAACAAACAGGGAGGAACAAGAAGCAGGTCCCTCTGGGGCCTAACGGCGGTGCTACTGCCATGGACAGAGGTGAATTTAGCCTCCTTATCTGCAGTCCACCTGAAAGGGGAATTAAACTAGGTGGCCGCTTTCCTAAGCAGATGGCAGTTGAGAGAGTCAGAGTGGGTTCTCAATGGGGAGGTTTACCAAACCATTGTAAAGAAATGGGGGTCCCCAGCCATAGACCTATTTGCCTCGGGTCAGAACAGCAAAGTCCTGATGTTCTCACTAAATCGGTGGGACGGGGCTCGTGCGGGTGGATGCGCCGGTGCATAAATGGGACTGTCCCATATGTTACGCTTTTCCCCCGCTCGCCTTGCTGTCGGCAGTATTGAGAAAATTCAGAACGGAGAGAACCTCTCTGATCTTAATAGCTCCGTATTGGCCCCGACAAGCGTGGTTCTCAACGTTGAGGACCTTAGCAATTCGGCCACCTTGGGTATTACCTCTACGGAAAGACTTGCTATCGCAGGGCCTGGTTCTATGTCCCAGGGTGGAGAGATGGAAATTGGCGGCGTGGTTTCTGAGGAACAACTCCTGCTAGCAAAAGGATTCTCAGTCAGGGTAGTGTCCATACTAATCGCTAGTAGGAAGAAGGAAACCCAAGCGATCTACCGTAAGGTCCGGAGGTGTTTTAATGAGTGGTGCTCCAGGGCCTCGGCCGATACCTGGTATCGGTTTAGAATTTTTGCAGGCGGGGGCCGATAAAGGGCTAGCGGTCAGCACGCTTAAGAGTCAGATATTGGCTCTAAGTGTGTTCCTTGAGTCCCCATTAGCAAAGGAAGCATTGGTCGTTTTTTAGGGCTCTGTCAAGACAGAGACCTGTAGGAAATAGACCTTTTCCAAAGTGGGATTTGTCAACAGTACGTAAGGTATTAATGGAGCCGCTGTTTGAGCCCTTAGTTCCCAGATCCCTGAGGGCCCTCACGTTCAAAACAGCCTTTTTGGTAGCAATCCCCACGGCAAGAAGGGTGAGTGAGCTTGAAGCTCTCAATCAGAGCACCTTATTTTCAGGTTTTTTCAGATAGGGTTGTGTTCAGGACGGATCCAGCCTTTGTGAAAATCTAAGGCCACTTTAGGAACAGAGGACAGGATATTGTTTTACCTTCATTTTGCGCTAATCCTTCAGGTGAAAAGGAAGTAAAATTTCACACGTTGGATGTGAGAAGGTGTGTGCTCCTTTACCTGGATAGGACGAAGGAGTTTTGTAAAACCGATTCATTTTTTTATTATTATTTTTATTTCTTTGCCGGGGCTAGGAAAGGTCAAAGAGCTTCCAGACGCACGGTGGCTAGATGGTTGACATTAGCAATAGAGCAGGCATATCGGGCCGATGGTCTAGAGGTCCCAGAGGGCATCAGGGCGCATTCTACATGTGCCATGGAGGCCACACAAGCGGAACAGGCAGGGGCCTCCCCAGGACAGATCTGTAGGGCTGCAACTTGGTCCAGTTATGGGACCTTCGTTAGGCATTACAAACTAAACCTGGTCTCTGTGCAAGAGCAGGCCTTCGGACGTAAGGTTCTGCAAGCAGTGGGCCCGCTCTAGGGGTGAGTACTCGCTTAAGGGTGTTTCCCGGCTGTCCCGGAGCTCTTACACTTCAGCCGCCCCGATCCCGCAGCCTCCGGTTACCCCGGCTGTCCCGGAGCTCTTACACTTCAGCTGCCCCGATCCCGCAGCCTACGGTTACCCCGGCTGTCCCGGAGCTCTTACACTTCAGCTGCCCTGATCCCGCAGCCTCCGGTTACCCCGGGTAACCGGAGACTGCGGGATTGGGGCGGCTGAACTGTAAGAGCTCCAGGACAGCCGGGAAACACCCTGGGCGGAGCCCCGCACATTCCGGGCTCTCCTCGTGAGTGCCATCCTCCGCAGTGTCTGCCCTAAAGAGGTGACCCCAGATGTTGTGATTTACTGAGGAACCCTGGAATCCTGATACGCTTGTGACCAGATGATGATAGTGAATGCAGCTTGACCAGAATACGGATGACCAAATGTGTGCCTGATGACACAGGAGACCTCCTATATGCGTATTAAATACGCACTTCTGGTGAGTGCGCATTCTGCTCATTAATATTTATCACCTCTGGATCACATATTCACACTTTAAGCTGTGACTCTACAGGATCCCCACGTTATACGTCTCTTCATTTGGACGCCTGACTTCACTGTGATCACCACTAGTGATATCACTTATTGTACTTTATGCTCTGAAGGACGATTTTACATATTTCATGTTATATTTAACTGTTATTTGCACTTTATTGTTCCTATCCCCAGCGCTGCACCTTTACTATTTACAAAAAAAAAAATACTGATTTGGGCTATTTTTACCAAAGAAATGTAGCAGAATACATCTTGGCCTAAATTTATGAAGAAAAATTATTTGCAAAATTTTATAACACAGAAAAACGTTTTTGTTTTTCAAAACGTTTGGTCTTTTTTCATTAATTTTGCATAGGGATATTTTCTTTTATACCTAACCCTGCTTTAAACTTCTCCACAACTTTATCCCTGACCTGTCTGGTGTGTTCCTTGGCCTTCATGATACTGTTTGTTCATGAATGTTCTCTAATAAACCTCTGAGGGCTTCACAGAACAGCTGTATTTATACTGAGATTAAATTACACACAGGTGGACTCGATTTACTATTTAGGTGACTTCTGAAGGCAACTGGTTCCACTAGATTTTAGTTAGGGTATCAGAGTAAAGGGGGCTGAATACAAATGCATGCCACACTTTTCAGATATTTTATTTGTAAAAAATGTTGAAAACCATTTATCATTTTCCTTCCACTTCACAATTATGCGCCACTTTGTGTTGGTCTATCACATAAAATCCCATTAGAAAACATTTACGTTTTTGGTTGTAACATGACAAAATGTGGAAAATTTCAAGGGGTTTGAATATTTTTTCAAGGCACCGTATGTTGATCCTGCTAGGACCAACGTAAAGTATGCATATTTCATATCTGAGGCACTGCTTAGGAAGCATCGACTCTACTCTAGTAACAGCAGCAGTCTTCCAGGTCCTTTGATGTTACTGCCCCTCTTCTCTACCTCATCCAATTAGAGAACACCTTGTATTTATTTAAAAAAAAAAATACAGGGCATTCTGTGAATTGCAGCAGTGCCATGCAAGCAACCCCCACCTCTGTGTGCACAGGGGAAGTGATACAGGACCAGCAAGATTGCTGCTATCACTGTAGTAGCGCCAACTTACTGGACCAATGTAAGTATGCAATAAAGATCATACCAGGAGTTCAGCTTTAAAGGGTTTACCAAAAGGTGTCAGAGATAATCATCACTATTTTGTAAAACATGAGGGTTACAACTTCACATTTCATGATTGTATGTCATGCTACCTGAATAAGAAACATCATATTGCATACTATTCATTTAAAGGATACTGTAAGGAGGAATCCTCCAAAAAGAAACATGAATACAAAATCTGCAGTACGACCCCTAAATGAGGTTTCTTCTAGCATTTTGCAGTGTTTGTACCTGGAGGAAACATTTATCTGTAAAGGAAACTAAACACAGTAGTATTAGCACTATCACAAAAAAGTCTTCCATGAGATAATCAAGTTTAAAACGCCAATTCAGTTTATGGACTGGGTTCGTACTGTCTATTAGAATTGGTGTTAACCAAGGTATCATCAACATGGTACATACACCAGCACCCAGATATGTAGTTTAATGGCCAAACTGAGATTCCTAGAGTCATGAAGTGCTGCTTGGACTTGCACAGACCAAAGCATGTAGGAAGCGGGTAAGTCTGACCTAAAGATTGGTTTTTCCTATATATTTCTGAAGAAGAGAGCAAGAGTTAAAATGGAAAGACGATCCCATATTTTATTCCTGTGTAATTCTACTTTTAATCTTGAGTAGCGAGACCATTTCTGCAACTTTTTCACTTACAGTTTTCAAACTTTGTAAAAAAAAAAAAAAAAAAAACCAAACCATACATTGTCTGAAAGCATAGGACTGATAGAATCTTCCGAGTCCTCCCTAACCCCCCCTCTCTATCCTTCTCCTCCTTCGAGGCCCATTGCATTCGACTATTCTCCCCATCCCCCCTAAAGGTTGCTGTAATCTACCGACCTCCCGGACCCGTATCCCGCTTCCTTGATGACTTTTCATCCTGGTTACCCTTCTTTCTCTCCTCTGAGCTACCACCATCATCCTTGGGGATTTCAACATCCCTGTCAACATCGACAACCCGGCCTCATCCCAACTCCTCCACCTAACCTCCTCCTTCGCACTCACAGTGTATTCAATCAACCACCCACTCCGACGGAAACATCCTGGACCTTGTCTTCTCCCACCTCTGCGCTCCTCGCAACCTCACCAACACCCCCTTCCCTCTCTCTCTGACCATAACCTTATTACCTTCTCTGTCTCTTCGTCCCCTAAACCCTACCCCTCCAAATGCCATACTACTACCAGCCAAAACCTCCGCAACCTGAACCCTGCCCCCTCCACTCTGCAGCTGATCAACTCCACGACAGCATCCTCCCCCTGTCCTGCCCCGACCTGGCTATGACTGCCTACAACAACGCACTGTCAGCCGCCCTTGACTCAATAGCGCCTTTAACCACACGGGACATCAGACCCTGACTGCTCCAGCCCTGGCAGACACCAAAACTCTAAAAACGACACAGTCGTGCCCTGGAGTGACTATGGTACAAAACCAGATCCCAACAAGCCTTCACCCGCTATAAATCTGCCTTCCACACCTACACCTCCACGCTGCCAAACAAGCCTACTTCTTGACCCTCATCAAGACCCTCTCCTCCAATCCTCGCCGACTCTTCTCCACCTTTAACTCTCTACTCTCTCCACCCCCACCTCCACCCAGCACCTCACTCACCGCCCTTGATATTGCCAATCACTTTAAAAACAAAATTGACACAATTCGCAAGGACATCATCGCTGCTCAGACTCCCTCCAAACCTGTCCCCTCTCACACAGTTACCCCCTCATCGCCCCTCTCCCTTGACCTCACCACTGCTCCGACCTCCACCCCACCTAACATTCCTCACACCGCAGCCCCCTCAACACTCCACACCTTCGACCTTACTACCATCGAGGAGGACACCAAGATCTTCTCTGATGCCCGCCTCACCACCTGCCCCCTCAAGCCTATCCCCTTACAACTCCTACGACCTCCCTTCCTCTCCATCCTACGTTCCCTCACCCATATCTTTAATCTCTCCCTCTCTTCTGGCACATTCCCCTCCGCTCTGAAGCACGCGCACTTTACTCCCATACTTAAAAAGCCCTCCATGGACCCCAATGACCCGAACAACCTCAGACCCATCTCCCTGCTCCCATTCACATCCAAACTCCTCGAGCGCTTAGTCTACAATCGCCTAAGCTCTCACCTCAACGACTACAACCTACTCAGTGCTCCTACTCCTTGACCTCTCCGCGGCCACCCCTCCTCCTCAAAAAACTACACTCTCTCGGCCTCAGAGATTCCGCTCTCTCCTGGCTCTCGTCCTACCTATTACAACGATCCTTCAGCGTTACCTATAACGCTACCACCTCCCCCTCACTCCCCCTCTCTGTTGGGGTCCCTCAGGGCTCCATCCATGGGCCCCTTCTATTCTCCATCTACTCCTCCTCCCTTGGCCAACTCATACACTCTCACGGCTTCAACTACCACCTCTATGTCGACGACATACAAATCTATCTCTCAACCCCTCGCCTCACCCCTGCAATCTCCGCCCGAGTCACAAACCTACTAAACAACATATCAGACTGGATGTCTCACCACTTCCTTAAACTGAACCTCTCCAGAATTGAGCTCCTAGTCTTCCCCCCAGCCCACACACCACCCCCCACTGACTTCTCCATCACGTCCAACAATGCCACTATCAGGCCCGCCCTGCAGGCCAGAGTACTTGGGGTCATTCTAGACTCCAACTTATCCTTCCAGCCCCAAGTCCAATCACTAACTAACTCATGCAGACTCCACTTCCGCAACATCGCCAAAATCCGCACTTTCCTAACCCCAGAAACCACTAAACAGCTCATCCACTCCATCATATCACGACTCAACTACTGCAACTCCCTCCTCACTGGCCTGCCTCACCACAGGCTATCCCCACTTCAGTCAATCCTGAACATGGCAGCCAGACTCATCCACCTTACCAACTGCTTTGTTTCCGCCACCCCTCTCTGCCAATCCCTCCATTGGCTTTCCGATTGCACAACGGATCAAATTCAAAATCCTAACACTGACGTACAAAGCTGTCCATCATACTGCCCCAAACTATATCACCGACCTAATAGCCAAGTGCCACCCATCACGCACACTCCGCTCCTCTCATGACCTCCTTCTCTCTAGTTCCCTAGTCTCCTCCTCCCATTCCCACCTCCAGGATTTCTCCAGGGCGTCACCCATACTCTGGAACTCCCTACCCCAATCCATCAGACTATCACCTACTCTTCTCTCATTTAGGCGCACCCTGAAAACCCAACTCTTCAGGAAAGCCTACTCCACCCCCTGCTAATTGCCGATCTCCTCCACTCTTCCAACCACTCCATCCCCCACAGCTATCTCCTCCTGTACCACTATCCCCTCCCTCCTAGATTGTAAGCTCGAAAGAGCAGGGCCCTCGAACCCCTCGTGTATCACATTGTATTGTTATTGTACTGTTCCATGTTCTGTCTCCCTTTGTAATGAACAGCGCTGAGTGAACTATTGGCGCTTTATAAATACTGTATAATAATAATAGAATAAAACAAAATGTTTATCAAAACAATAGTTTCCCTAAAAATACACAAATCTTTTAGTGCACAAAACATGATAGAACTTACAAAATTCCTAATAAATCCAAAAGATAAAAATGTATTCGTTTAACAGATATATATGTAAATTTTAAATTGTGCTTTTTTTTTTTTCCAAACTAGTGAATATTGATGCTGGGTTGGTGCGCGCGTTGCGATAAAATAATGCAGGCACATTTTATTGCAAATAAGTGTGTAATATGCGCTGATGTACATAAAGTTGAATGACTGTAATTAAAGTTTTAGTCTGCATGTGCACTGCAGCTCAAAAAACTTCTGAGCGTTTGAGCTTTTTTTTTTTCTTTGCCTTCCCTTAACACTCCCCTCCATGTTGGCTTGTGTGTCCATGCACACTTTAGGCATTTTCAGGAGTTTACATGCATCACTTGTGCATTCAGGAGAGGATCTTTTGTCTACTTAACACGCTAGTTAACACACGTTCTAATGGCCAAACTTCTGGCCAATAGAATACATTAAAGCCAAACCCATTAACTCCCATCCAAAACGCCTCATTTTACCACGTTTTTGATGCAGTAAACTCCTGTAGGAGAAAAAAACGTTTCTAAGCTTACAGTATGCATGCAACCTAAAGAAGAAAAAAATGCACTGTGTTGTGCACACGTGTACAACACACACCAATTTTACTAGTATTTCAAAGCAGAGTGCAAAAAAAAAAAAAAAAGTCCATCTCTGAAATATATACATTTCCCCCATGTCTTATTCATTTTAATACACTGCAAGTACAGAAAAATAACTGCTTTTGTGCCAAAAAATATAGTGTGTTTCGACCATCTTTTTGACATGACAACAGAGTGCTGAGTTCCTAATCATTTGGTGTCAGCCCTGTCATCTTAAAATGGAACTATACTGCATCAAAGCAGAACAAACCAAAAATGTCATTTAATTCATTTGTATTATTCAAAGCAAACTCACCCTACCTTCCATGTCTCTGTGCTTTATTTGGCTTAGAGATCACTTTGAAAATCACCCCCCTAGCATTTGTAACTGTGGCCATCTTGAGTATGGGCAGATGATTCATGTTGCATTTACTTCCTGGAATCCATCTGCCCTTAGCTCAGACATGCAGACAGAAGGCTGTGCTTAGTTTAGAAAGCCCATTTCCCCTCCTGAAGATTCCTGGCTGGGATGGATGACATAATTTGCCTAGACATGGAAACCAAGAAGAAACTGAAATAATGTAAAAAAAAAAAAATTAAGCACTAATGCTAGCAGTATAAAGATTAAAAATAGTCCATGTTGATTGAGAGAGTGAAGTTCCGCTTTTTTTCTGATGGATTACAAAGAACACAGAGTAATGCAGGCCATAGACGGTTTGTTTATCGGCCAATTTTTCATCCGAAAAATGAAACATTGTTCGTTCTGTAATCCGATGTTGCCACCAATGATTTAAAAAATCGGTAGTTTTTCACACATTTTCCAGCATGACCGATAAACGAAATGAGGAGGAACCGTGAAAATCATCAGATTATTCTTTCGGACGAAAAATCGGCCGATTTTCGAACCGTCTATGGCCTGCATTATCCTCAATCCCCCTCCCCGCCCTACCCCATCTTCATAACTCTTTCCTGTGCACAGGCAAAGAGCACAGGAAGTTGACAAAATCGCCAGTTTTTTTTTTTTTTCTCAAGCAGATATAACAAAGCACTTTCAATTGCATATTCAGCAGATC